ATTATGTGTTCTGCTAACATTCCTCATCTCTGTAGATTTTTGAAAATGAATAAAACCTTATTTCATCTCTTTCAGATGCAATTTCTCCATCGTAACAATATGCATCACCCATCTCTGCTGATTTTTGACAACAGATGAATGCATTATGTTCATTCTTTTTAACTCCAATTCCATTAAAACAAATCAATTTCTTACCTATATTATGTGTTCCATTAGCGTTCCCATCTGCAGATTTTTGAAAATAACTGAAAGTCTTTTTGTACATCCTTTTCAACTCCAATCCCTTCGTCATACGTATCAATATCCAACATTAATGTTCAACCAGTGTCACCCGTCTATGCTGATTTTTGATAATAGACGAATGTTTTATGTTCATCCTTTTCAACTCCAATTCCATTAAAATAATAATTTCTTACCGATTATATGTTCTGTTAACATTCCTCATCTCTGCAGATTTTTGAAAATGAATAAAGCCTTATTCTCATCCTTTTCAAATACAATTTCTTCAGCGTAACAATAGGTACGTATACGTATAACATTATGTTCCACTAGCATCACTTTTCTCTGCTGATTTTTGACAACAGATAAATGTGTTATTTTCATTCTTTTCAACTCCAATTCCATTAAAACAAATCAATTTCTTACCTAGATTATGTGTTCCATTAGCGTTCCCATCTGCAGATTTTTGAAAATGACAGTCTTTTTGTACATCCTTTTCAACACCAATCCCTTCGTCATACGTATTAATATCCAACATTAATGTTCAACCAGTGTCACCCGTCTATGCTGATTTTTGATAATAGACAAATGTTTTATGTTCATCCTTTTCGACTCCAACTCCATTAAAATAATAATTTCTTACCGATTATGTGTTCCGTCAACATTTCTCATCTCTGAAAATGAATAATGCCTTATTTTCATCCTTTTCAAATACAATTTCTCTATCGTAATAATATCTAACATTATGTTCCACTAGCATCACCCGTCTCTGCTGATTTTTGACAATAGATGAATGCGTTATGTTCATTCTTTTCAATTCCAATTCCATTAAAAAAATCAATTGCTTATCTGGATTATGTGTTCTATTAACGTTCACATCTACAGATTTTTGAAGAGGCGTCATCTCAAAAAACCTTTAAAGGAGAACGAACTTTTGAAAGAGTGCTATCTCAAAAAACTTCTGTAGAAACTACGCCTCAAGATATGTATATGGACCTGCCGGATCTGGAAAATTTTGATGATAGGAAATTTCCACCAAAAGTAACGGTAAGTCTTATATACGCATTATGGTTATTGTGATGATTATGGAAAAGATTCCAGCAAGTAACGATCTGTGTTATATTCAATTCATTGAATCAATAATATTCAATGATT